TACTAAAGACACATGACAAATGGTATTCACAATATAATAATGCATTTTTCACCTTTAAAGATTCAGTACTTAAAATTGCAGGAAAATGTATGTAAATAAATTGAAGAAAATTTTAAAAACAGCATTAACTGGTCGTTAAAATTTAATCTGATATGTATTTATCTAGATATGTTTTTGCAACCCTGAAGCTCAACAGAGGTTGAGTGATGCCACAGAACAACAACTCAAAGCACAGGAGTAAATCAACAGCAGAATGGCTTAAACAGTCATTAGGTCAATGGTTTTACATACTTTCCCTGTCCTGCATTGTGAATGTTCACATTGTGTTCCATAGAATTGTTTGTGTGTATTTGTCTACTACAGACAGATAAGACCATGACCAAAATCATGACCACTTTATGCAGAAATGCAGACAAATCCAAATGGTTCAGAAATATATTCCTGCAACTATATATATAAAAAAAGTGGTTTGGATAATAATCCTTGAGAAATAAAGTACTTGAAATCAATTGGACAACTAATAAAGAATGAACTATGCAGGAGTGAATGCACAGTTTCTCATGTTGCTCCACAGAGGAGCTGACACAAATAGTGACACATATTGGTAACGGCTCTTAATGAATGTGCAAGAGCTGTTCTGTGTTGGCAGGGGCAGAGATACAAGCTCAGCATTTGTAAAATAAAAAGGCCAGACTGACAGGAACACTGTTATGATTATAATGGGACTGCTTCCTCTGCTAATTAAAATTAATTAAAATAAAATTAATACTAATTATTATGTGAATGCTGCATTAAATCAGACGCATGTTAAATTATATATAAGCAACATGATTCTACTTTCAGAGGCACATGCATGAGGACTAGGCTTGCCGCGATAGACGGTGCTGACGGTGATACCGTTGTTAAGCCGCAACACCGGTTACATCACTTGCCCACCGCGTCACCGACCCCCACCGTCGTTTTGATTTTTTATAGTAATAAAAATCATTTAGTTCAGTAAAAGAACAGACACTACAATTAAAAACTGAACGCGGCTATTTAAAAGCGACGGAAAGCGAGGAAAAGAGGGAAAATTCAAACTAACTAAAAACGAACAATTGCTTTACTCCGAATTGCCGCTATTTTAAAGTGAAAGTAAAATGGGCACACCGCTTTTACAAGCTATTTAAAAGCGAAGGAAAGCGAGGAAAAGAGGGAACGCCCCGCCCCCGCGGTGATACCGGTATTACCGGTGTTGTCACACGCCGATTAACCGGTGGGAAAATTTCCTCACCGACACAACCCTAATGAGGACTTGATTTTTTTCACCACTGTTATTCTGAGCTGGTGCTAAAATCGGCCATAAGCATTTACATGAGTCTTATCGTATCAAAAAGAAAACCAGGAAAAACTCTATGCACATTAAAAACAAAAATGAACAGAAATAACCTTTAATAATAATCACTGCTATTTATGGTTATGGCGTGATTTATTTATTGCCATTTGAAATTGTGTGCATTGAATTCTGACTGTGGTTTTGGCACATGTAGCTGTTTGGGGGCTGGCTGGACACACAGCACTTTAAGTCTCATTTTTGATGAGAGCAGTAAATAATTTAGAGCTTAAAGCTGCCATTAGCCACACTTAAACTCTGCTAATGCAGACCCCTGACAGCTGGCCTATCCCCATTGGATGGGACCATGGATCAAACAGTTCTGAACGAAATAATGGGCCATGCTGAAGCACAAAAATCTGTCAATAGGCATGTGTTGTTTTTGCTTCTGCATGTTTATTGGTTATGCTGTGGTATTACACAGAAGGTTACATGGCTTATGACTTTAAATCCATTTAATGTTTACATGCATGTTCACTGCACATTAAGAATTTAGTAGAGGTACAGGATATTACAATTAAAAACAGTGACCCTGTGGCAGCCTTATATTGCATTGTTTCTTGAGCATAGCGTTTCAATTATAATTGATAAATCTAATGATTCTGGATGTTTATTTTCAATCATGCTTTATCCTTACTGTGACAATTAGGACCCACAATAAATATAGGCTACTGAGCTGTGTTTGTTCAGGTGAACATGGACATTTCACTTGCTATATAATGGTACCACCCTTAAAGGATTCACCTAAAAATGAAAATGTCTGTAAATGTCAATTATAATTGATAAATCTAATGATTCTGGATGTTTATTTTCAATCATGCTTTATCCTTACTGTGACAATTAGGACCCACAATAAATATAGGCTACTGAGCTGTGTTTGTTCAGGTGAACATGGACATTTCACTTGCTATATAATGGTACTACCCTTAAAGGATTCACCTAAAAATGAAAATGTTTAAGGGTTACGTGGCCTAATGGTTAGAGAGTCGGACTCGTAACCCGTGTGTGTTCACTGCTGTGTGTGTGCACTTTGGATGGGTTAAATGCAGAGCACTAATTCACATGTCACGTCACTTTATAAAGAGATCCAAACCTCTGTGACTTTTTTCTTCTGTGATATTTTTTTTGAAACGTCTTACTAAGCAATCAAAACACCATGTAAAGTGAACTGTAAAGTAACTGAAAGGGGTCAAATAACATTCTAATAAATAACAATGACAAATTTGATCCGTTGAAAATCCCCCCTTCCCTGAATAGCTATAAATAACGATTTAATTCAATTGTAATTCAAAAACTGTAGTTGTATTCATTTTGCAGTTTCATTAACTTGATCTCTGGTAAAAGCTAGCTACTATTAACATCGCTGCACGGGTTTTAAGCATATGTTTATGAGAATTTTGGGACATTTAGTAAGCTATATCATAGAAAGTTTACCGCGTGATGCAACAAACTTTTTTCGCAAGAAAACGACAGAAACATAGGCTATAGTGACTGAAAACAATTTTAGACGTGCATAAAAATCATATGACTTTGCCTCAAGTCATTGACTGAATAAAATTTTACGCTTAACAAGAGTCACCGTGGCTCAGTTGTTTCAATTTCCGTGAATTTGTTTTTGTTCTCTTCAAAATATGAGATAAAAACGTAGATATCTATGGGTTAAAAGGCTATAAATAGTTTTGCGATATTTCTTCTTTTTTCCGCATAGGCCTATATTAATCTCTCGAATTAATGGACGCATCACAGCTGGCAGGTGTGAAGACTGTCTCGTGAAAGTCAGACAGTTACTGAAATGAGAAGGGACAAGGGAGTTACCTGTGGCACTATAGGCTAGGACACAATTAATTTTCAATGAGAGGTCTCAATCTCTTAAAACTGCCGCAAACCCCTACTGTTTTCAACCATGCTTTAATATGCTTAATAATAGCAATGTCACATCGCAAAAGACAGTTCTTTTCTGATCGTTTTAAAAGTACAGAACCCACGTGCTTGGTCTCCGGAGCGCCCCAAGAAGTCACCCTTCAGTTCGAGCGCTGATGTCAGCATAGCTATTACTGTACATCGCGGCTATTCCCTTGGGTTTTAGAGATTGAGGTTGTTGTACAAATGGAGGAAGATGGCACGAAAGTTCGTCTTGATGAGCTAATGCATGTGCAGTAGGCCTATAGCCGGTTTTCATGCAGGGCAGAAATAGACCTTTTTCTCCGTTATATTTTTTATCAGAATGCAAAGTACATTCGACCATTAAATTGTATACAGTTTCATACAGCTAGCCTATCTGGAAGCATAGCAGTGACGAATTGTTGGTGATAGATGGGAGCCATGGGTTCATTATTAAGCAGAGATGATAAAGTATAGGCCTATTACAATTTTAAATTCTTATGAATAACAAAAAAAATAAAAAATGTTGTTCATCCCTTATGTGACAGAACTGAATTATCACGTCGTTGCAATATGTCCTGTTCTCATATTCTCCTTTTAAAGTCTGAAAAACTGAAATAGTTTTGAATGACACAGTTTGAAATGTCAGCACTGCTTAAGGTTACAATAACGTTAAAATATTAAATTGTTCTAAAACGTTTTATTTCTTCCTCCAGTTAGCTCTAGCCTATTTGTAGGCTGCTGATGGCAATTGGCCATAATATGAACTCTTTCATCACTGTGCTAGTGACTGCACTCGGTGTCTAATCAAAGTATGGATGAGAGATTAATTTTCCCATATTTAAGCATACAATTTTTTCTTAAATTGTACCTCTTTTATTTAGGCTATACTGTGGCAATCAAATGAGCAATAAGATAGCCTATAAGTCCATCTCATTTTAAAAATTTAGCCTAAATTAGAAATGGTTAAATGAAACATTTTAATTCAAAACAGCAAACAAAATTAAATACAGGCCTTTGGGATTTTGGATTTCAGAATTCAGTAGGCATAATTTCGTCAAGAATAAGCTTTACAGAATCTAGACACAGTCCAGTTTGCTGAACACGATTTATATAGGCCTATTTAGATATTAAATAATCACTGCCATTTATTATACTGATCTAGCCTATCTGTTTAAAAAATAGGCATACTACAGTCTTGTTTTCAGATTTGTTTTCTTAAATGAATAGTCTATAAGATATTGTTGGGGTTGTGGGTTTAGCTTTTCAACCAATATGTCACCCTGATAGTAGGCTACTTCGATACTAATGAGCCACTTGACATGATAGATCTCATATTTCCTAAAGGTATGGTGTGAATCCAAGAACCATAGTCTACCTTACACTGAAACACCCTGAATAAAATAACGTTTTTTTCCCCACGTCTAATAATCTCCCGCAGCAAATTAAGATGTTTTTATATTTTTCTGAAACAACAAGCACAGTTACCTGATCATGTCTAGGGAGTGAAACGAATCAATATCGGGTGCACTGTGACTTGTTGCCCCCTACTGACGCGTCTTAGTTCGGATTTGCGCCTGACGTCACGTCTCGTGCGGCAGACAGCAATCTCTCTCTCTCTCGCTCTCTATCAGCCCCTGTTCCTGCGTTTACCCCCCTCTCCATCTCTCCTCACACTGGACTGAGTTTGCGGGGCAGCCGGGAGCGGACACTACCTTTTCTCTCTTCCTGTTTCAACAAGCAATCTTCTCTTCAGGCAACCTGTATGGTGGATATAATATTCAGCTCTTCTTTTTTGGATGATATGGGGGATCATTCCAAAAGTATGTATTTCTGTGAAAAAACAAAAAACTATATGCCCTACAAAAATTTACTTTATGTTTAAAATTAAGCGTTTAAATTTGATTCAATGTTGTTGCATTTGAAAAAAAAAAATGATTATGTTAATGATTAAGCCTACTGTTTTTTTCTGCTACTGCTTCTGCAGTATATCTGTCATCTGAGAAATAGCCGACTGTCTTGATCTTTTCACTATCCCAATGTTAGTTAGCCAACAAACCTCGATGATTTCAATTTTTATGAAATACTTATAGTCTAAATTCTCGACTCTCAAACTCCTGTATAAGAGCTCAAAACAATGTTCTTTTCCATGCTCAGAGAAGTCCGGACTTGCGATGTGTGTAGGCTGCGGCAGTCAGATCCATGACCAGTATATTCTGCGTGTCTCCCCTGACCTGGAGTGGCATGCAGCCTGTTTGAAATGCGTGGAGTGCAACCAATACCTGGACGAGAAGTGCACTTGCTTCGTACGGGACGGGAAAACGTACTGCAAGAGAGATTATGTAAGGTAGGTTTTTTGTTTGTTTGGTTTCTTTCGGGAAAAGTGTGAATTATTTTTAATAAATCTGGTCGCATATGTGTTTCATATTTATAATGACCAAAACATCTGGCAACAGACTGTAAAATTAAATTAAAGTGGAATTAAAAAGCATGCTTGAACTTGCTTGGTTTCGTCACTGCACAAATTAAATTATTTTTCTATTCTACATCCAACAGACTGTTCGGTATAAAATGCGCAAAATGCACTTTGGGCTTCAGCAGCAGTGATTTGGTCATGAGAGCTCGGGACAGTGTGTATCACATCGAGTGTTTCCGCTGCTCGGTGTGTAGCCGGCAGCTTTTGCCCGGGGACGAGTTCTCCGTCCGGGACGAGGAACTGTTGTGTCGAGCAGATCATGGTCTGGCCCTGGAGCGCGGATCAGGCAGCAGCCCTCTCAGTCCGGGACACATCAAAAGCAGAGGACTGCATATGGCAGGTCAGTAGCACATGGCAACCAACTGACTTACGCCTATATGTGACCCTGGACCACAAAACCAGTCATAAGTAGCACGGGTATATTTGTAGCAATAGCCATTGCATGGGTCAAAATGATCGTTTTTTCTTTTATGCTAAACTCATTAGGATATTAATCATGTTCCATGAAGATATTTTGTAAAATTTCTACCATAAATATATCCAAACTTAATTTTTGATTAGTAGGCTAATATGCAATGCTAATGACTTAATTTGGACAACTTAAAAGGCGAGTTTCTCAATATTTTGATTTTTTTGCACCCTCAGATTCCAGATATTCAAATAGTTGTATCTCGGCCAAATATTGCCCTATCCTGACAACCCATACATCAATGGAAAGCTTATTTATTCAGCTGTCAGATGATGTATAAATCTAAAAAATTTTAAAAATTGACCCTTATGACTGGTTTTGTGGTTCAGGGTCACATATTATTACAGTCGTATCGGACACGGACGTGTAGAAATTATAGTAGTAGAAAACAAAACAAAAATAAATTATTTGGAACGGTTAGCGCTATTTATTCGGAACGGCTAGGCCTTATTTAGCCTAAGGTCAGTTTTGGAACTGAGCACATAGGCTAAACTGAAAGGCAGGCCTAATTGTATAGGCTACTGTGGGAGGAATCGTGTAATGTTGTTACATATTAGCTTACAGGCCGATCCGCTTGATAACTTTGTTTAGTCAACCACTGATAAGCCTGAGCGGCAGGACACCGAGAGCTACAATAGACTCAACATGCTCGTTAATTTCCTAATTTGCAAATGCATATTTGCAAAATAAATTATAATCATAATTTATATATAAATTAATAATTATAATATCTGTAGTGCAGTATATTATTGGCTGAATTAAACGTAGCCTAATATTGATATTAAAATTAATTAGCCTAGGCTATATTATATAAACCAGATTCATTCGAGGATTTTAAGTTTTAGTTAAAAAATGTCTGTCCTGAATATTTGTAAAATCTATCTATCTATCTATCTATCTAGTTAAATTTCCAAATTTATTATAAGAGTTTATTCTTATTCAAAATGCCTATGTAATTTTTTCAACGGCATTATTATTTTTGACATTTATATTGTCTAGTAGCATATTTTATGTTCTTTTCAAACTTATTCTTTTAATTATTATTTTAAATCATTCTTTTTTTACATTTTTGTTCAGCTGATCCTGTGTCGGTCCGGCAAACTCCTCATCGGAACCACATGCACAAGCAATCGGAGAAGACCACTCGGGTGAGGACGGTGTTAAACGAAAAGCAGCTACACACTTTACGGACGTGCTACAATGCAAACCCGAGACCAGATGCGCTCATGAAGGAGCAGCTGGTGGAGATGACAGGCCTGAGCCCGCGGGTCATTCGAGTCTGGTTCCAAAACAAGCGCTGCAAGGACAAGAAGAGATCTATCCTCATGAAACAGATACAACAGCAACATGGCGATAAGACCGTACGTGTCTTGCTAATGCCCTTTCAGTGTGAGAAATTTAGCTTACCATGATGTGCGGAAAAAAACAGACTTAACCAGTACGGCTCTGAGTGATGCCTGACACTTATGAGCCGAGATGATTTTAATTGTGTCAGTAATTCGACTGCAGTGTTGGCTTGAAGCAAATTAGCTACAGACCCCTACTGTGGGTGGTTTGGGGAATGTTTTAAACTCTATATCATCTGGAACTGCCCTTATATATTAGGCTATAGTTTTCTTTTATTTATCAAAAAATTAAATAAAAATGATTTAGGCCTAACTCTGTTTTGTGATGCATTGTCCCTTATTAAAATGCCAATATGAAATGGTCTGGAGCTGTGTCCCTGATCGCAGACTTTTTGGTCCAGAATCTGCAGGGCATGACGGGCACTGCGCTGGTTGCAGGCAGCCCAGTTCGACACAACCCCTCAGTGCCAGGACACCCGGTGGAAGTGCAGACTTACCAACCACCCTGGAAAGCTCTCAGCGAATTTGCACTTCAGAGTGACTTAGATCAACCTGCCTTTCAACAGCTGGTGAGTGTAAAAAAAAATCAAAGTTGCTTTTGACATTTTTTATGGTTTTTATAGTCTACTTTACTGTATAGGCCTATGTCAGACTGAGATTTGCCTATCATTATAATTATAATAATAATAATTATTATGTCTAGCTATTTTTTTTATTTATAGTTAATTTTGTCTCTCACTTTCAGGTCTCTTTCTCGGAATCCGGTTCTTTAGGAAACTCATCTGGCAGCGACGTGACGTCTCTTTCTTCACAGTTACCGGACACACCGAACAGCATGGTACCGAGCCCGGTGGAGACGTGAGAGCGACTGCTCGTCTGTTCCCCGGGAAATCATGAGAACAGCTCATATCAAGGACGCGGGAAATTCCATGACCATCACCGGACAGCGCCATCAGACATAGGCTATAGCAAAACCTGCACTGGGTGGGAACAGAGGAACCGTTTTTCCTAAAATCCGTCAACAAGTCCGTGGTGACACTGGGAGTGAAATGATGGAAGTGAAACTCTGCATAGACCTACACTAAGTGAGGGACCTCGAAATGGATATTCTTTATTCGTTATGATGACTGTTGTAGGCTATCTGTGGTTTTTGGACATTTTTGGAAAAAATCTTTTCAAAAGACTCGATTTTTAAAAGATGGGATTTTTTTCGTTGTGAAATTTATTGGCGGACCGTGTCTTTGAACAAAATTAAGTTATTGTTATTTATTGTCACATCAATTCGCAAAAGAATAAATCAGCACTGAAAATTTTTATTTATATTTGTGAATGTAAAATGCGTGAATAGGCTATGCTACTCTTATGAAAAGGTTTAATTTCTACAGAAAAACGGAGAGGTGGAGTTTAACTATATTATTAGGCTATTAGTAGTAGGGCACTCATTATAGGCCTAAAATTATATAATAATTATTACACAAAAAAGAATTCGGAGAAAACATTTCTTAGGCTATGCTACATTTATATAAGCATACAGTAATTTCTTTCAGCGGAAAAATAGCCTACATAAATGGCTACACATTGATTTGTTCAAAATCTAGTAGGCCTAGGCCTCAATAAGGATAGGGCTCTATATTATAAATTAAATAAATTAGCTAATCTGCCGAATAGAAAACATTTTGCAGGTGCAAAACTATTTCAATGTAAATCATGATTTTTAAAAAATTAGACTAAATTATGTCGTTTTTTCGTTGTCAGATTAGATCTTTAAAATGATTAGGCCCTATCCCCTTTTCCTTAGCGAATTTACGTGTCTAGGCAAATGGTTCAGGATCGCGTGAGCTTTTATTTACTTGTGCCGTTACACCACAAACAATACATTCAACAGAACCGGAGCGTGATTTGAAGATATTGCAGATTCACAAACGCACAAAGAAAAAGCGTAAGCACAAATATGCACAGGAAATTGAGCTGAATTATAGGCTACTGCTTATTAAATTGCCATCTAAATATTATTATTCGTTAACAAGTCGATATTTTAAAACTCATTCACGAGTTAAATTTAAGTGAATTTTAAGAAAAAAAACGCTGTTAGCTTTTTGTCATTTCAGTCATTTCGTCGACCTAATTGTGAGTGCTTACCGTTTTCAAAATACTGCAAATTTCAAGGTCAGCGATACTTATTCCTAAATCAGATTTTCTCTAAGAAGACGGACTCGAACAGTTACTTACGTAACCTTGATACCTGACGTGTTTTGGTTTTGTGTTTTAGCTACTTGTACAGCCCAAACCTTTCTTACTAAATTAAGTAAGGATGCACACAACCCAAAAGAAGGCAAAACTAAATACGCTGCTAAAGAACAGACGTTTTTATATAGTAGGTTTCAGGTGCTATTGATACAGATCCAAAGAGACAAGATAGACAAGATAACACCTTGTGCTTGTTCTAGTGGAAGTAAGGCAATGATAGGAAGGCATTCAAGGATGAACCTGTGCAGGATTTTAAGATAACCTGAATGTGGTTCTCAGATCTCAGAATGTTTTGCAATACATATCCAGCTACATTTAGCTCTGACCACTTGTCATCATCATCCGAACCAGAAATAAGCAGTTGTAAATGGGTTTTAGCTGTATTGCCAATTTCACAGAGTGTGTGTGTGTGTTAATATTCACACAGACCTTACAGAAAAATTTTTACCTATTTCTTGCAATAGAACAATAAATCAAGCAACCCATCTGAAGACATACTAAAAATCATGAATTCCCATTAGGAGAATAAACACACACACACACAGATCCAAAGAGACAAGATAGACAAGATAACACCTTGTGCTTGTTCTAGTGGAAGTAAGGCAATGATAGGAAGGCATTCAAGGATGAACCTGTGCAGGATTTTAAGATAACCTGAATGTGGTTCTCAGATCTCAGAATGTTTTGCAATACATATCCAGCTACATTTAGCTCTGACCACTTGTCATCATCATCCGAACCAGAAATAAGCAGTTGTAAATGGGTTTTAGCTGTATTGCCAATTTCACAGAGTGTGTGTGTGTTAATATTCACACAGACCTTACAGAAAAATGTTTACCTATTTCTTGCAATAGAACAATAAATCAAGCAACCCATCTGAAGACATACTAAAAATCATGAATTCCCATTAGGAGAATAAACACACACACACACACACACACACACATCCCATTAAAGGCATGGAGGGAGGTCAAAGCCACCCACTCTACAATAGCAGACTATAAAACAGAGTTCACGATGGCTTCAGCATTCACTCTACAAGAAGACTCTGTCACTCAGTCTTAAGGAAATACAAGGCATTTGAGGGAAACAGACGTCCAGAATTCTACAAAGTGGCTTTGCAGAAATGCCTCTGCATAAGATACAGAAATGGCTGCACAGTCACCAAAAGTTTGGAAGCTTCCTTCATATGTGGGTCGGATCAGATCAGACAGTGCTGGGATTTTGGTCACACACAGGTACGGGTGCAGAGCTCAGGCTAAATTAAAGTAGATGGTGGGGGGTGAAGCGCTGTGACCACGGCTCCATAAATAACCAGGATTTATTAGATCTTAAAAACACTTTTAACAATACTGACCCTAATGCATTCTATGTTTGATAATGCACTCAGGGCTTTAAGAGCGGGATAAACAGACCTATAACTCTTGTTTTTATCATTCCAGCATGGGGAGAACACAGAATGAGTTCTACAGCAGCGTTCAAAGGGTCACCACAATATTGCTTTCAAATTAATGGCTACCGTCACAGCAAACAAACCATCTTCAAACTGCAAATATATCAAAACTTAATTTTTGATTAGTAATATGCATTGCTAAGAACTTCATTCGGACAACTTTAAAGGCGATTTTCTCAGTATTTTGATTCTTTTGCACCCTCAGATTCCAGATTTTCAAATAGTTGTATCTCGGCCAAATATTGTCCTATCCTAACAAACCATACATCAATGGAAAGCTTATTTATTCATAATAAATATATGTATAAATCTCAATTTCAAAAAATTGACCCTTATGACTGGTTTTGTGGTCCAGGGTCACATATGTAGGATATAGCAGTGAAACCTTCTGCCAAAGATTTGACCTGAAATACAAAATCTAAACTTGAAAGGAAATTAAATATGTCATTTCAATTTGAATGAACAATATTCCCTTGACTAATCACTCCTTTAGAGGTGTATTTTATCAAACACAACACATCCGTTTTTTTAAACAGCGTAATAATGAGCAGCAATATATTATTCTACAGTTGTCACTGGGTGTAGCCTGAGTGACTGAGTATTTCATGTGAGTGTTAAAAGAATAGCCTCCGTCGGTGAATCATCTGAAGCTGATGACGTTCCTGGCTGTGTTTAATTCGCATATTTTTGGGGGAATGAATCAAGGGTTCTGTTCTGTGCCAAAGTGCTCTCAAAGGATAGTGTGAGGTGGAATAAATCATAAATACAACATGTGCATCAGGAAATTAATGTCTTTTCAGAATATTAAAAACTAACATTGATGATGTACTAGGTAATGATTCTCCTCAGGGTATTTTGAGGACTTTATAATTATAGGGATAGAATATGTTAGATTAATGGTACATCAAAGAAGGGCTCAAATTTCTTCTGTGAAACACAAAAGAAGACATTCTGAAGAACATTTCAAAGGCTTGTAGATACAATGAAAATCAGTGAGGTTGAATACAACATTGGACCTTGTTGACTTCCATTTGTATGGATTTTTGTGTGTGTGTGTGTGTGTGTGTGTGTTCAAAAGAAGAAAATAAGTCAGTTTTGGACTGACATGAGGATGAGCAAATGATTACAGGATTATCAGTGTACAAGATGTCCCTTGTTACAGATCACATGGTCCATCATCTTTGTCCCATGGTCCTAACATTATACTACACACACACAAAGAGAGAGAGAGGTAGGCAGTGAATGAATGGGTTGTGTCAGAGGCTGGCCTTGGGGTCACCGTTGCTTTCTTGTGCCAAAACTGTTTATGTTATCCTGGAGGAGAAGAAAGAGGCTGAACATGTTCCCTGCCAAACATTTATCCTGTCTCAAGCCTGCCCCCAACACATACCAGGAGCCTACATTGACCGAAGCTGCCCTTAACATCAAACACCAGAGATGGGCACTCGTAAAAGCCTCTGTGCTAAACTTCACCCAAATAAAAGAAAACAGAATAGCAGGGTCAATGCTCTGAAATGAAAATGGCGCAATAATCTGAATCCTTGTTCAAGAGTCATTTGCTAAAAGCACACTGTCTTCTACAGTTGCTGACAGGTAAGATTTCATTGTGGCCAACATGATGACAGGAACGTGTTTTAGGTGCTCAGATTAATTAGGAATTTCTTAATGAACACAGTCTGAAGTGTTTTAAAGTTATAAAATATAAATAATATTTTTGATTAGTTAAATTCTTCTAAACGTTTAAATGCTTCAGGTTGCCTTTTGTTTATAATAATATAATTTGAACATAATCTTTCAGCTAATTTAATTCAGTTTTTCAGGGTAGTAAATAAACTAAAGATTATCGGAATATGTTTTAAAAGAACAATATCGCAGAAAATTGTTTCATAGTAAATGTACACTTTTTTTCAGAGTATGCGCAGAAATAAGTAAATTTCACAATTACAAACAAACAGCAAGTAACACATGACATGCAACATTACATTTTAAAGTAGAAAAACTGAAATATTTTCTTGTACAACATACTCCAATAATCTTTATTTACAACTTCAAAAAAATCTTTTTTTTACAGTGTACAAGTCCCCATTTATATAATTTCCCTATTTGTAATAAATATGAAAATCAGCCCGAATCACTAATATTATATATAAGACTAAATGTTTAAATCAGTAAGAAAAAAGAAAGGAAAGAGCTTGAATGCCACAAGACATTCTGTGAAGATTGGCTCTTTACATCCTGAGCAGAAACTGTCATAATCTTAATCAGGGCCTAAACCAGACAGCCATGGATGTTTTTTTTTAACAGACCGTCTCTTTGTTGCAGACTGTGGAAGTCTATTAGATAAGAGACCTTCTTGTTCTCAGATGAAAGCTAAATTCACATCCCACAGCACAGAAAATTAGCTCTAATAAACTCATTAAGTAA